CTTCCTTGCCGAAAGCCGCATCTTTAGAACTTTATTCTACATTGATGCCTGAAGAACAGGTCTGTTTGATAATGAGTAGCAAGAGGAGCACCCTTCACCCCGAACAGTCAAAACCCACAGGCACTCCCTTCTGTTACTGTATTTTTGCTGTATAAGCCACAAAACCTCTCCCTTTCCCCACGACTGAGACTCAGGTGCCTTGCGCCTGCATGCAGGTAGCAGGAGGAGCTGTTTTCCTCCCCACTGTCCCTCCCTGGCTGCCCTCCTGCCTGTCCGACACCATCGCCTGCCTCTGCCCCAGCTCTCCCCATCTGTCACCCATCTCTGACTTTGTGCAATTACTTCAGGATTTATTTTCAAGCAGGATATAGGGTTGAAAATAGGCATTACTGTGTCCTCCCACTCCTGAGCTTCTACCTATTTGTTTCATTAACTTCTTTTACGTTGTCATGATATCATGCTGTAAGCTCTGTAGGGCAGAGACGGCCTTTGTAAGAGATACATGCACAGTGCCCACCCCGGTACCCCCCGCCTCGCTGACTGAGGCAAGAAAAGGAGTATTAAATACTGATACTGAAAACCTGTGAGTCAAGTTTTCCGATTCAGGCCCTAAGACAATGAAAAACTCTCCTTTATTGTGACGCAGGGACTGCCAGCTCGCAGACCGCACTTTCATCAACCGCTCTCTGTTCATTTCCAGATTTAGTTTTCATTAAAATGCAGTCCAGGATTAAAATAAGTCGGCCGGATCTATACGGTGGGGTAATTTGCAATAGTGCACCAGCGTACAGTCTTAATGACGCTACACCAATATGCCCTCCTGTGTCACCCTTAGCTGTGTTGCCAAAAAAAATAATAATCAGTCTGATCTGTGAAAGGACAACAACTCTCTGCTTCATATACTGGAAGGCAAAATATTTTTCTACAAGTTACTGAAAGCAGGTTTTTTAGGATGACTACTTCAGTAAATATGAAAACCTTCTTCTCCATTGCGTTTTCTATGCATATGCATAGAAGAACAAAAAATCTGCATCTTGCAGAAAAGTGCATAGGTAACAAAAAAACAGCTGAGCTGCTGTGGCTGACAACCTTAACCTAAGCATTTTTTGCTTTGTGTTGTTTATGAAGGCTTTTTATTGCAGAAGGGGGGGCAGTACCTGAAAGCCTCACAAGGCTACTTAACATTTACTGCTGAAAATGTAGCATTTCAGTGAAATTCGATATTTTCTTTCATCAAACGCAGGGAGCCTCAACCCACATGTTAACAGTAATGTAACAAGCCTACTGTATGTGCTACAACCAAAGATCCTTTTCCAATTAGAATTCATTTAGGTTGGGGGAGCGGAGGGGTCGGAGCAAAGAGGTGGCTCTGGAATTGATCTAGAAGTGGAATTCAACCATTCTGGCTGGGAGCATTAACGGCTCAGCTGGGAATCCCAAACACTTGCTCGGACTCTGCAGTGAACCAAGAAGTTAAAGAGCAATGTTAGAAAGGAGAACAGTTTGTCCCCGGAAAACTAAGGAAATGCATAAAAGAATGTTTCTTTTTTTACAGAGGAGGAAGAAAAAAAAGTCTTGTTACACTAGGG